TCTCTCTCTCTCTCTCTCTCTCTCTCTCTCTCTCTCTCTCTCTCTCTGTGTGTGTGTGTGTGTGTGTGTGTGTGTGTGTGTGTGTGTGTATCTGTCTCTCATCTCTGATGTTTGACTCATGGATGTTTGGTAGATTCTGTCTATTTCTCTAGACTGTTATGAAAAGTCCCCACTGGTCTTTCTGCATCTTTCTATCTATCCACCCAATTACTAATCCTTTATTTGAATTTTAGGCCAAGTGCTCATTGCTAAATATAAGCCTGAGCATGTCAAATGCAGTCACCCGTCATCCAACTCATAAAGTGCTTATTAAATGCAAACATTGGGCTGGGGAATATAGCTCAGAGGGAAACACTGGCCCAGCGCACAAAAAGCACTATGTCCATCTCCAGCATCATGCAAGAAGATGTGACGGTGCACACCTGTAATCCCAGCACTTGAGAAGTAGGAGCATTAGGATCAGGAGGAGTTCAAGGTCATCCTCAGCTACATAGAGTTCAAGGCTATCCTGGGCTAACTGAGACCACATCTCAAAAAAAAAATTCTTTTAGCAATTAAAGAGTATATGTAGGGGTGATATTTAGAAAATGGCACCTGGTCTGGCTTGTTCCTGGGCAGCCACCATGTTCCTGCTGCTTCTTGGCTCTGACCGGGGCTCAGGCTAGCTAGATGCTCAGGCCCTGGCACCCACGAGACGCCAGCATGGGGAATGGCTCTGCCAATCCCCCACGCTGTATCCACAAAGCTCGGCTGAACCCCAGACAATGTCTGCCATCCTCGCAGTTCCCGGTAGAAATGAGACTCTTAAAGCTTAATGATTATCTAAAGGATTTATATATTTAGAAATGCTCAATCAACAAGGTGCCCACACAATGCCGGGCAGTGGTGGCACACGTCTTTAATTCCAGCACTTGGGAGGCAGAGGCAGGCGGATTTCTGAGTTCGAGAGTTCGAGGCTAGCCTGGTCTACAGAGTGAGTTCCAGGACAGCCAGGGCTACTCAGAGAAACCCTGTCTCGAAAAACCAAAAAAAAAAAGAAGTTGCCACCCAGGACAGATTTAGACCCATCCATGGTTCTCCATGACTGATAGCCTCCCTCTTCTCCTCCCCTTCCTCTTTCCCCCCTCCTTCCTCTCTTTCTTCCTTCCCCTTCTTCTCTTTCTCTCCTCCCCTTCCTCTCTTTCTTCCCTCCCCTTCCTCTTTCCCCTCCCCTTCCTCTCTCCCCTCTCCTTCCTTTCTTTCTCTCCTCCCCTTCCTCTCTTTATCCCCTCCCCTTCCTCTTTTCTTCCCCCAGCTCCACCACCTCTTCTACTGCCTAATTACCAAGCTCTACTGTGAATACAATGTAGCAGAATAAGTATCCTGCTACAAGTATATAATCCAGTAATACATATTTCCAAAGTTATGCAACCAACACAACTATCTCATTCCAGAACATACCCCAAAACCATGAATAGTTCCTCTCTACTTCTGCCCTTCTCCACTTCTGGTAAACATGAGTCTACTTTTAATTACTATGGGTTTGCCTATTCTGTATGTCTCATTTGAATGGAACTATACAATCAAGTTTTTTAAGTGAGTGACTCTCACTTAGCATAAAGCTTGCATGGATCATCTATGAAGACGCATGTACCAATAGCTTATCCCTTTGTAAAGATGAGTAATATTTTACTCGGTAGCTACACTACATTTTGTTATCTGCTCACCAGTTGATGGGTATTTGAGTTGTTGCTATACTTTGACTATTATGATACCACTGTCATGTATGTTTATGTAAAAGTTTCTGTGTTCAACAGTTCCTCTTCCAATAAAGAGGCTTCATTTTCAAACAGCCCCCAAGGATCTTCATGGTTGGTCCCTCCTTGTGCCTTCAGCTCTTTTCAAAAGTAGGCCCCCAAGCCTTTGCTTTCTGAGCTCTAAACACAGTGGCCCGTCCCCATTCATCCTGCTTCCAGTACACAGGAAGTCTTTGCATAGCTGTTCTATTTCACTACAGTGTTTTCTGGTGTTTTGTTTTTCTTTTTTTCTTTTTTCTTTTCTCTCTCTCTCTCTTTTTTTTTTTTGGTTTTTCGAGACTGGGTTTCTCTGTGTAGTCCTGGCTGTCCTGGAACTCACTCGGTAGACCAGGCTGGCCTCGAACTCAGAAATCCGCCTGCCTCTGCCTCCCAAGTGCTGGGATTAAAGGCGTGTGCCACCACTGCCCGGCTACAGTGTCTTTCTGACTGCCACATATAAATGTTCTTTGTAAAAGTTAAGTTCTTACATAGCTCAAACTGACTTTGAAGCCCCTATGTGGTAGCACAAAGTTTCTCTAGGCTATGGCCCTTTAATACAGTCCCTCATATTGTGATGACCCCCCCCCAACCATACAATTACTTTTGCTGCTACTTCATAACTGTAATCTTGGAACTGCTATAATTGAAATGTAAATATCTGATGTGCAGGATATCTGATATTTGATCCCCAAAGGGGTTTGAGAGCCACAGGTTGAGAACTACTGCTCTAGGGGGCTCCAGTGTGTCTTATGGAGGCATAGAGATGGCAGACTCATTAGGAACAGCAGTACCAAGTTAAGGGGCTGGGGATAGTGATGGTTTTAGCTGGTCTTCATCCCTTGAGATGGGAATTCTGGCTGAGGACATTATTCCTAATACTGCCATTATCCGGCACATTTACATTAAAAGTCGGGAAAGTGTCATTCAATGCCCAAAGGAGTCGTGACCGACATGTTGGAAACTGCTACAGTAGAGATTAAACCCAAGACGGTTTGTGCACTAGGCAAGCGCTCTTAACAACTGAGCTATAACCTCAGCCTATATATTGCTTCTTGCAGAAGGCATTCCACAGGGATGGCCCCTGAACCTACCCTTTCTTCAGATATCCAAATATTAACTTGTCTTCCATTCATTTAAGAGAGATCGTTTTAGCACCAAATATGTGCTGGAGATTATGTTTTACTGATTCAACTGTGTAGATAACCAAAATCCCTGTCTTTGCATGGCTTCAGTTAAGCAGGATAGAGACATTGAAGCAGACAATCACATGCCAGACGCTCATGAATGATACAAAGAAACAGTAAGGTGGGAAGAGGCTGGAGAGGACAGCATCTAAATTTCTACAGAGAAAGTTTCTCTGTCAAAGTGACACTGAGTCCAGGCTCAGAAGAGAAAAGTATTGAACTGCTTAAATATCAAACTAGACTACAAGGTCAAAGGCCTTGGAGCAGAGAGCACAGCATGTGCAGAGCAGTGTGGACTTTAGTCTGCATCGGCGGCACCTGGAGAAGGCTAAGCACAGGAATGACCCTCAGGTATGTGAGAGAATCAGTTTATGCTGTGTGTGACAAGCAGGTTTTAGGGAATGCTGGACTACTGAAATAACTCAGCAGCTAAAAGCATCTTTGGCCAAGTTTCAATCCCCAGGACCCCAGTGGAAGAAGGAGAGAACCAACTCCTACACTTTGTCCTTTGACCTCCAAGAGGTCACTGTGGCACACACATAACCTACACACACTAAAACTAAATTAAAATGTAATTATTTTAAGTTTAAGAAGAGGAGAATGGACTGTGGAAATGGCTCCATAGGTAAAGTGTGAGGTCCCAAGTTCAAATCCCTAGAAGCTGTGGAAAGCTAGGCTGGGCAGTACAAGCCTGTAATCCTACTGCTCGTACATGGAGGGAAGAGGCAGAGACAGGAGACTCCATGAAAGCTCACAAGCCAGATACAAACAACCAAGAGATCCTGCCAGAAGCAGGGTAGAAGGTGAGGACCCACACCTGAGGTTGTCCTCTGATGGGTACACGTGTGCCTTGGTATGTATGCATGGCCACCCCAATCTCTCCTCCCTCCATCTCTTGCACACACACACACACACACACACACACACACACACAGTGGGGGAGAGGGAGAGAAAGAGGATACAGGAAAGAGAGAGGGGGGAAGGGAGAGACACAGAGAGAGAGACAGAGAGAGAGAGAGACTGAGATGAGGGGCATGAAGGCCATGAAACCAGTTGTCTGCTGTGAAGAAACACCATGACCAAGACAACTCTTATGAAAGTAGGCTTTAATTGAATCTTGCTTACAGTCTCATTGAGCTAGTAGTCCATTATCGTTATGGTAGGAAGCAGGCTGGCATGGCACTGGGGCCTTACAGACTGCACAGTTTCTCCAGCTTTACATCCTGATCTACTGGCAGCAGGCAGAGAGACACAGACTGGACCTGGTGTGGGCTTTTTAAACGACAAAGCCCATTCCCAGTGACACCTCCTCCAACAAGGCCATACCTCCTAGCCCTTCCCAAGCCCTAGAAACTAAACATTCAAATCTATAAGCCCATGGGGCCCATTCTCATTTAAACCACCACACCTTAGTTAATAAGCTATTGTGACGATCCAAACAAGACAACAGTGGCTTTCTAGAATAGACCTGTAGTACAGAGTATTTTAGATCACACAAAGTCGTTGCCATTTGTGGGCAGATTGCTATTGTTCTAGAACCAGCTGATTACTATTTGTTTATTGAGCTGTGAAAGGCAAGAGAGATACATTTGAGTGAGAAATGGAGAGTGTAGTTTCCAACTGTGAAGTCTGAGATATTAATTACAGATCCATGGACAAAGCCTGGATTGCCCATTTGTAGGTGGCCAAAGTCACTTGGGTGTGAATGTACAGAAAAGATCTAAGAAACTGATGTACTTCAAGATTGAAAACAAACAAGACAGCGGGGGCTACATAGGGAGACCCTGTCTCAAAGTAACCAAAACAAACAGACAAATGGAGAAACCAGGCAAAGGAAACCAAAGAGGGGACCATGAGATAGGAGGAAAACAAGGAAAAAAATGTTCCAGAAGCTAAAGGAAGAAAGGCTATGTGCCTGGGTATGGTGGTTCACATCTGTACTCCCAGCACTGGGGAGTCAGCAGCAGAAAGATTGCCATAAGGCTAGCCTGGTCTACATAGTGAGACCCTATGTGGGAAAGATGACATCATCAATTGTGTCAGTTGCTATGGAAATGGTAGTGTGTTAGTGTGTTAGGTCCGAAGTGGATTCCTTGCTGCTCCCAAATGGTAGTGCTGGTGACAATGTCCTAACAGTGAGTCTTGACCTGAGGGTCAAGTGACCCTGTCACAGGGCTCACCTAAGACCATCGGAAAACACAGATATTTGTATTACAATTCATAACAGTAGCAAAAGTACAGTTATGAAATAGCAATCAAAATAATTTAATGGTTGGGGTTCACCACAACATGAGAAACTATGTTAACAGGTTGCAGAATTAGGAAGGTTAAGAACCACTGTCCTAAACAGAAAGACTTTGGTCAGGTAAACAGAAGGATTATTGGGTAAACAGAGACCTAAAGTCAGTTTCTTTTTCCCAGGAGCCTTCTTTAAACCACCAGGGACCAACCTCCTTTCCCTTAACCTACCCTAGAGGCCTGTCCCTCTAGCAAGGAAATCTAGATTCCAGTCATCGAAACAGCCTGCGTCAGTTCAAAGAGCCCATCTGTCTAGAGTCATAGGAAATTCACTTGCTTTCCCACTGTTTGCTCTTCTCTCTGTTCCCACCCCGAGCCCCAACTCAGAGATAACCCTACAGTTTGATTCCCAATTAAACCTTTCTACCCATGGAGTGGTCTAGTCACATGGTTTCACTGTGCCCTTGATGACAGTGTGGTGGTCAGTGAACACTTGTGTAGTAACTGTTAAGGATTGAATGGGATTCGAACCCCAGAAGCTCGGCTATTTAATACTTGGTCACCAGTTGGGTCTGTTCAGATTATAGAATTCCTGGAAGAAAGGTTGAAGAAACTGTTGGGAACATAGCTTGAGGGTTATTGCCTGGTCCTGATTCGGGATCAAGCTCCCTACCTTCTGTTGGGCTTTGGGTGATGGCCCAGCTGGTGTTCATTCCTGCTGTGTCAGCTGGGAATCTCCCTGCCCATCCCTTCCCTGCCATGATAGACTGTACATTCTCAAACTGTGAGCTAAAGTAAATCCTTTCTCCCCTGCACAGCTTCTGCTGGGCATTTTATCGCAGAAATGAGCAAAGTCACTGGTGTGGTAACACAGGTGTCGATGTGACCTTACCCAAGGGTGAGGTCAGTGGATGTCTTAGTCAAGGTTTCTATTCCTGAACAAAACATCATGAACAAGAAGCAAGTTGAGGAGGAAAGGGTTTATTCAGCTTACACTTCCACATTGCTGTTCATCACCAAAGGAAGTCAGGACAGGAACTCAAGCAGGTCAGGAAGCAGGAGCTGATGCAGAGGCCATGGAGGGATGTTACTTACTGGCTTGCTTCCCCTGGCTTGCTTCCCCTGGCTTGCTCAGCTTGCTTATAAAACCTAAGACTACCAGCCCAGTGATGGCACCACCCATAATGGGCCCTCGCCCCTTGATCACTAATTGAGAAAAAGCCTTACAGCTGGATCTCATGGAGGCATTTCCTCCAGGGAGCTCCTTTCTCTGTGATAACTCCAGCTTGTGTCAAGTTGACACGCAAAACCAGTCAGTCCAGTGGAGTTCAGTGGGCACTGAAAAGGAAGTTTGGCTGCTATGGGATCAAGAGAGAAGGGAGTTGGGATGCCTCTTTCAAGGGTTATTTTCAGAGGAAAGGACAGAGTATCTGGCTAAGGGGACTTGTTTTGGAGAGTGGCAGTGTCACCTCATGCTCTGATAGGGTCATATCAGCCTCTGAAGAGATCAAGTGCTAATCCCTGGAGCTTGTGCTACTCTACTTTCCAAGAGTCTTTGCAGGTGTTCATCCATGCTTCTGAGAGCAGGATATTATCTTGGATTATCCTGCTGGGACGTACATGCCTTCATGTCCTTGAAGAAAGAGCCAGAGGGAGCAAAGCCTGACCCACACCAAGAACAGGCAATGTGAGGGCAGCCCAGAGACTGCTGGCCTCGCAGTTTAGAAAGACATGGTTGCAAGCCACAGAAGACCAGCAGCCACCAGAGACTGAAGGAGGCAAGGAACAAATTTCCCTGCAGCCTCTGAAAGGAACACAGCCCCGCTGACCTTTGATGTCAGCACTGTGACAGCCATGTCAGACTGCAGGCCTCAGAGCTACTGTCATTAAATATTGTTAATCTTTTTGTTGTTGTTGTTGTTGTTGTTTGAGACAGGGTTTCTCTGTGTAGCCCTGGCTATCCTGGAACTCACTCTGTAGACCAGGCTGGCCTTGAACTCAGAAATCCGCCTGCCTCTGCCTCCCCAGTGCTGGGATTAAAGACGTGCACCACCACCGCCGGGCAAATATTGTTAATCTTAATTGGATAAAATTTCACAACTGTCAAAGGAAACAAATGCATATACTAATAGCCAAGGTCACCTCTGTGAAATTCCGCATTTCTTTTATGATGTGCTAAGATCATGAAAGAACTGTGAGCTAACACTTTCCAGAGAGCTAACTGACTCCCATTTGTTTACAATTTCTTGAAAGACAGATCCCATCTATATCTTCTTACTATATCATAATATATTCTATGATATATTCTATGATATGTAATAACCCTATAGATAATGTTCCTCTCTTGCACATACTGATTCTGAGCAACTTAAGAGACAATATAAACTGCAAAGACAAGAGCCAAAACGTCGCTTTCATGACAAGTAGCTGCCAGGCTGGAGGATTCAGCTTTAGGTCCAAGACAACTGTGCATTAAAAGCCATCAACTGGCAGACATTCCCACCCAGTCCCTACCAGGCAACTTGCCCTCCAGCACAGAGAAGGAGAGGAACTTATGTTTCCCACGGGTCTTCTTGCTCCCCAGTGGGAGAAGGGCAGAAGTGAGATGAATTATCATCCCAGATGTACCAGAGAGCAAGCAATGCAGCAAGAGTGTCCTTGTCACCTGAGGTCTCTAGGCAAACATACTCTTCAGTGAGATCATTCAGTTTTCAAAGTAAGTATGTCCCATCTTAAATCTCTTTATACCGATACTTGTGGCAACATCTGCATTATTAAATACTATGGGTTAGGGGGAGCAAGAGTGTGATAAAAGCATTTCTATTAAGTTTCAGAGAAGTTTGGAAAGTTTCAGAGAAGGTGCATGCAATTATGAGCATTTTTTAAAAGATTTATTTATTTTATGTATGTACACTGTCACTGTCTTCAGATACATCAGAAGAGGGCACCAGATCTCATTACAGATGGTCATGAGCCACCATGTGGTTGCTGGGAATTGAACTCAAGACCTCTGGAAGAGTAGAGAGTGCTCTTAACCTCTGAGCCATCTATTTAGCCTGGGGATGGTTATACAAACATAAGCAGGGTCTCCGAGCAGAAGATCCTATAAACGCCTTAAATGACAATTGAGTAGCCAGGTATGGGGTGGTGGTTTAAGCCTGTCAACCCAGCACTCTGGAAGCAGAGGCAGACAGACTAGGGGTTCCAGGCCAGCCTGGGTACATGAAACCCTGTCTCAAAATAGAAAAAGAGAGACTAGCAAGTGGATCATTGACAATTTCCTGTGTTATACATATGTGCACACCCATATGTGCACACCTCAAATCTGCATCCTATGCACATATAAAGATTTACCTCACATATGTGCTTGGAATGACCCAACCAACCACTGGGTCGCCATGTTCAATAAAGTTAATTCATCAGGTTTTCACGCCAAATAAAAGCTAGATGGGCGCTCACGTTTATGCTGCTGCTGGAAAAACCACACCCACAGGAGCCATGTCTTGTCTTCAAGACTTACTGCCACTGCTTCTTTACAAGTATTCTAGATACGGGACGTGGTGGCATGGGCCTAAAATCCCAGCCTTGGGAAGTGCAGGCAGGGATTGCAGGTGTGCTAGGTCATCCTTAGCAACAGAATGAGTTGGAGGTCAGCCTGGATTAAAAGAAACTCTGCATTATTTTGTTTCTTGGGTTTTTTGTTTGTTTGTTTGTTTGTTTGTTTGTTTTTGAGACAGGCTTTCTCTGTATAGCCCTGGCTGTCCTGGAACTCACTCTGTAGACCAGGCTGGCCTTGAACTCAGAAATCCACCTGCCTCTGCCTCCCAAGTGCTGGGATTAAAGGCGTGCGCCACCACCGCCTGGCCTTTTGTTTTGTTTTTAACTAACAAAACGAAAAGCCCAAATGAGCAAAATTATGCTACATATAACAAGGCCATCCTAGGCTGTTCACCAGGGGAAAGACAGCAGTAGTACTCACAGGCATACTTTGGAAGAGTGTTTTTCTACAAGATTTGTGGGTTCCTTCATTAATTTCCTGGTATCCAGGCAATAAGCCCACGAGTCCTCTAGCTTCCTCTCAGAGTCGAGTATCTCCAGCACCTGCAATAAGAGCTACACAGAGAAAGCAGACTTAGGGTGAAGGGATGATTGGAGGAAAGGGGGCCCCAATTCTATAACAAGCATACCAAGTAAATTTGGCGTTCCTTTTCAAACGCCATTCATCAAGCCCTGCATAGAGTACTGTGCTGGGGGCCATCTATGAAGCTCTGCTGCTCTGCCATTTGATGCTCAGGGCCTGTGTTGTGGTCCCATCTCCTCTAGTAGAATATGCCTGTAAGCCTCTCTCAGGCCTCCAAAGCCCCAGCGCTTGGAGTGTCTCTGTTGGACTTCTGTGGTTCTTGACTGTAGGCATCTCAGGTATCTCTCAGGCCTCCTATGAATACAGTATCTACATTTCCCTTTGAAGATTTACCTCACATTCTGGGAAGACATCGAAGCTAGAAAAGTGCTTGCCTGGCTAGAATGAGAACCTGAGTTAGAATCCCCCCCCCAAGAACTCATGTTTTAAAAATATAATTAGGTATGGTGCACACCTATAATCTAATCTTTGCGCTAAGATAATGGAGATTTGCCTGCCTACCCTGCTTGGTGAGTTCCAGGCTGGAAGGAGACATTGTCTCAGTAAAATGATGCTCAGCGCCCAGAGCAACAGATGAGGTTGTCTTCTGCTCCTATTACACGGGCACACTTGTGTGCACATAGCTCAACACACGACCCTCCTCCATACACATACACACAAAGAACCGCCTCCCCTGCCACTCCCATCTACTTGGTCCAAGCTGGCCTAACCATATCTCCACTCTCCAGGCAAATTGCACCTGAGCCACAATGACTAGTTTAGGGGTGCAAGAGTCTCATGAGTCAAGTGTACCCATGGAAACTAGACTATAGGGTTGGATTTTCCTGGGATCACACACAAAAAGAAGTGGTGTTTCTTTGCTGGGGTTGTACAGTAGAATCTAAACAGGAGCTTCAGGCAGCCAGCTCAGCACCATAGAGACCCTGACTCAAAACAAAGTTAACTCTGTGGAGGAGGGGAAGGAAAACTTGGAGGAAGCAGAGGGGTCAAGGACACCACAAGAGCACAGCCCACAAGAATCGTCTGACTGGGACTCAAGTGCACTCACAGAGATCAGGGAGCCTGTATGGGTCCGACCTAGGTCCTCTGCACATATGTTACGGTTATGTAGCTCAGTGTTCTTGTGGGGTTCCTAACAGAGGAAGCAGGGGCTGTCTCTCACTCTCCTGCCTGCCTTCGGGACTCTTTTCCTCCTGCTGGGTTGCTTCATGCAGCTTTGATGTGATCCTTTGAGCCTGGTCTTACTGCACTATTTGGTTGATGGCCCTGGAAGACCTGCTCTTTACTGAGGGGAGGTGAAGTGGAGGTATATCTTAGGGAAAGGGGAGGTGCAGGGGAGATACTGAGAGAGGGGAGGGAGGGGAGGGAGGGGAGGGAGGGGAGGGAGGGAAAACTGCAGTTGGGATGTAAAGTCTGAGAGAAGAGTAAATAAAAAAGAAAAAAAAAACAAGAACAAAAACTAACAAACTTTAAAAAAAGTAACAAAACCTAGTTGAGAAAATCAGACAAGGAAATAAAAGCCACACTCCCCTGCCACTGTTATGTGTCCTGTGAGATGTGGTTTAACGGCCTTTTTGTCTGAGACTCAGACCCTCTCTGGCTTCAGGGACCCCGTGAGGAAAGGCTGTGTAGAAAATCACTGATTAGAAATTTCAGCTGCTCTTCCCATAGATTTTTCTGGCATGAATCATTAATTCGTTCATTCACTCAGTGACTGGAGTGCAGTGAGGGAAGAGGAGCCGATTGTGGAGCAGGGAGAGCGTCTGATGACAGGATCCCCATCCCGGGCCTCTGAAGACAGGTTTCACAGAGTGAGGAGTTGAGCAAGGGAATGTGTTAGACCTGAGGAAAAAAACTATTTCCCTGACTGTCTGATTAAAACAAGCTGCATTTATAAGTGCACAAGGGACTGGCCAAACAGCTGCCCCCCTCTGAGTTGGATTTTCAGAGAGCAGCCCCTTTCATAGGGAAGGGTTACAGTTGGTAGAGAATGGCTGTCAGGATCATTGGCTGTTAACACCTGGACAGAAGACGGGAGACTCTGGCTCAAGGCTACCTGTGGGTAGACAAGTCCAAGAATATATCACATGGAAGGGGGCCATCTCAGGCTCAGGAGTTTAGTAAGGCAAAGGTTCTGGCAAACATCCTGGGGTTACAAGTTCAGCACTGGTTGCAGAACATGGTTTCAGGATGCCTTGGGTTTAGAAAACACACACGTATTCTTGTAAGGGATGGCAACTTAGTAACAATGTCTAACAATGTGCCTCCTGTTTCGCTTTCACAATTGTGGGTCCAGACTTATCTGTTTAGACCAGGGCAAGCTAAACAGGGGTGGGGGTGGAGGGCTTCTTGCTCAGCCCCTGCCTCAGCCAGTCTGCCTTCCTCAGATTTCACACAGCCTGGGATTTGTTTAAGGATACAGTGGTCAACTAAGAAACCATTTCTAGGCTCTCTAGCAGATGAGAGAGGCCAGATGAGGAGCCCTGGTCCTGGGAAAGCTACCATTTGCTCAATGAAAGGACGGCCATTTCTTCCTTCTTGTTGGAAAGTCAAACTTGGGGCCATTTTGAGATATAAAAACTGGTTAAATGTGCTGAGGGTGATGACCATGAATTAGGAGCAGACTGGGACATTGGTGACACAACAGATTTCCTGCTCAGGCCTGGTTTAGGCACTGTGGTGGAGTCCCCATGGCCTTCAAATTCTCTTGTCTCTAGCTCTCTGTTAGTGAGTTCTTAAGGAGACCTCTTTGGCTCAGGCTAAACAGACATAAGTAATACTGAGCAACCCTTGCATAGCTTCCTGTACCCAGAGGGTCTCAAAGCAAAGCAGGGCAGCAAAGGAAACACCCGCGTGCCCCACAGTTTTGTTTCCTCAGTAGAAAAAGGAAGGCTGCTCTGAGCTGGTAATAAGCCTTCACTGGGGGTAGGGTACACCTTATAACATGTACTTCCAGGGCATCTGCAGAGAACTGTTTTGGGTCGTGTCCGTCCCCTCCCCCCAACCCCCCGGCTTTCCCTCAAGCCCAGACAGATCACCTCAGCAGGCAGAGCTTCTTTAAGTTGTGGGTAGAGAGCCAGGGGGTGCAGAGTCTTGTGAGCTCCCACATCCTCCAGGAATGCCTTCTCAGCTTTCGAAAGCTTAGACGGCAGTGTTGCCCTCTTGGGCAGTCTGCTCTTCTTGAGAGTAATATTGGGAGCTCCGTGATGAATAAGAGGAAGAAAGGCGTCCTTGGGGCCCTGGTGTGTTTGTGGGGGGCAGTCTTTCCTGAAATCATCCAGCCCCTCTTTCACAAACACCCAGTGCTGGCTGTTCAAGAAGCCCGGGAATGTCAGTCTGTTACGCTTTGTGAAATGCTTGGAAGGCAGGTTCTCGAGGTACCTAGGAGACAACATGTCAGATGACGAGCATCCCAGGATTTGGGTAGGAGGGGAGTGTGAGGAGGCTGGCCCCCACCTATTGTGGGGGCAGGTGAGCATTAGAGGCTGAGTTTCACATGCTCTGCAAGGCCCTGCTTTCCGTGGTCTACCATGTACCTACAAATGGTTCTGTATTGGCTGGTTTTGTGTCAACTTGACATAAGCTGAAATCATCACAGAGAAAGGAGCTCCCTGGAGGAAATGCCTCCATAAGATCCAGCTGTAAGGCATTTTCTCAATTAGTGATCAAGGGGAGAGGGCCCATTGTGGGTGGTGCCATCCCTGGGCTGGTAGTCCTGGGTTCTATAAGAAAACAAGCTGAGCAAGCCAGGGGAAGCAAGCCAGTAAGTAACATCCCTCCATGGCCTCTGCATCAGCTCCTGCTTCCTGACCTGCTTGAGTTCCTGTCCTGACTTCCTTTGATGATGAACAGCAATGTGGAAAGTGTAAACTGAATAAACCCTTCCCTCCACAACTTGCCTCTTGGTCATGATGTTTTGTGCAGGAGTAGAAACCATGACTAAGACAGGCTCCCATCTCCTGCTTAAGCAAAACCACTGTTCTGCATGAGATCTGTACCTTTTGCCTGCACGCATCATTGAAGCTTCCAGTCACCCCTCAGTATAAATGCAGTCTAAATGCATGTGAATAGAAGATGCTTTTTTTCTTTACTGAGTACTCTATTTCAAACTCTCACCTGTGTCATCCATGTCACTGTATTTTAAAGGGCCATCCATGTCAATCTAAGCATTTGTCATTGTAACGGCTTCTGCCACATTAGAAAAAAAAAATCCTTTCTGTAGCCAGACTTTGGCAACTTTGTGGGTTTTTCTTTATTCCACCCTTCTTCGTCCTTTCAACTCCCTAACACTAGACAGAAGAGGAAAGAAGGAGGGTAAAGGGGCGACATTATCCTCAGTCTACATCCTGGTTAAGGGCATCAAGCTCCGTGGGACAAGTTTGATCTTCGACATCAGGATATCTAATTTCCTCCTCCTCCTCTTCCTTTTCCTTCCTCCTCTCCCTCTTCTTCCTCTTTTTCTCTTCCTCCTTTTCCTTCCTCCCTTTCTCCCTTCCTCCTTCCCCTTCTTCTTTTCGTACAACTACTTAACAAACCACAACCAACTAACAACTCAACAACCCTCTCAGGGCCCTAGCACTTATACATCCTTTGAAAGATCCCCAGAATTCCAAAGTCATGCAATGGCGGAAACTATCTGCAGCTGGCAAAATCATACCCCTGCTAGAGGACAAGGCAAATCATAGCTACTGTGAAGCAGCACACACCCAGGATGAAAAAAAAATCACATTCTTATAATATTTCTGCGTTTTCTAAAAAAACCAAAATGACAAAATTGTCACTGAACATTCAGTTTGTGGAGGATTCAGCTTGCTTCCCCTCTCAGGGACTAAAAGTCAATACAGTAGGAAGAACTCGCTCCTCTGATGATGAACTTCACTATCAACTTGACCAGACTTGGAATCACCTAGGAGATACTCCTGGGCATGCCTATGAGGACATTTCTTGAGAGGGTTGGCTGAAGAGGGAAGAGCCACCCTAAATGTGGGTACCACCAGGGCTGGAGTCCTGGGCTGAGGAGAGGAAGGACTGGCATTCCTACTCTGTGTGAAGAGTCCCAGCTACAGGACCCACCACCATGAATTCAGCCCTGCCTTCCCTACCATCATGGACACTACATTCTCAAATTCTGTGTGGCCCCCCTCTTTCTCCCTGGAGGCTGCTGGCCACCAGCCTGAGGGGACAAAGGGAGCAGAAGCAGAGAGCAGGGTACAGTCAACTGGCCAGCCATGAGACTGCTGCATTGAGACAAATCTACTTTCTTTCTTTTTTTTTTTTTTTCTTTTTTTTTGGTTTTTTTCGAGACAGGGTTTCTCTGTGTAGGCCTGGCTGTCCTGGAACTCTGTAAACCAGGTTGGCCTTGAAGTCAGAAATCCGCCTGTCTCTGCCTCCCAAGTGCTGGGATTAAAGGCGTGTGCCACCACCGCCTGGCCAAATCTACTTTCTTGTTTCGGGGATAGGGTATTTAAGGTCTTTTTTAGGAGTGCATGTGGAAAGGGCTAATTTGTCATGGCATCAAGCAAGCAGGAAGGGCTGACTGGTTATAATACAGCACCTAATTATCCTTCAGGCCGGAAGCCCGAGGGGGACATGTGTGCTGAGCTATGCAGCCTTGCAGAGAGCTCTGAACAAGGTCACTTTTCAGACAAGGCCAGACAAAGCCAACCACCTGAGTTCAAGGACACTCTCCTGACAAAGACAGGCAGAGACACTGAAGCCTCACTGAGAAGGGAGTCCCCCATTTTGCACTGAGCTCAGAAAGCAATCTGGTCATGGGGGCCTGCTACCTTAATAGCAAGGTTCCCCAACACCCTGAGCCCAAATAAATGTGTGGGGTATTTTGTCATGGAGACAAGAAGGGGAGTAAATACAGCCCCTGTGTTGCTGAATGAATGGTCTGTTAGATAACCTCAGCTGCTTCGTTTCCTCTTCTCAACTCAGAAGGAAGGCTGTGAAATTATAGTTCATGGGCTATATCAAACCTACAACATGTCATTTAGTGTGTATGTTTCTGTGTGTTTGTGTATGTGAAACAAGATCTCACTATGTAGTCTCCAATGGCCCTGAACTCAAGACTTCTCCATCCTACTGCCTTAGCCTCTCACACCTTCTTTATGTTTTAATAAGAATCATAAGTACAAGGCCTGACAGATGGCTCAGTGGGCAAAGGTGCCTGCCCACAAGCCTAATCCCAGACCCACATGGTGGAAGGAGGACTGACCCCCAAAAGTTGTTCTCTGACCTCCACATGCACTTGATGGCCTATACACACACACACACACACACACACACACGAACATAAGAATACACAAACACACACATACAAAAACATGCATGTAAGTGTGCACACACATGTATACACATGTGTATACACATTAACACACATGCACATATGAATGGAGACACATGCATAAATATATACATGTAGACATGTACATACATGTGTACACATGTGTACAACACGTGTACACACATGTGCAACATGTTACACATATGCGTATACACATGAGTGTGCACATACAAATAGATAATTTTTTCTTGAAGAGTCATAATAGCTGCTGGGCAGTGGTGGCGCACCCCTTTAATCCCAGCACTTGGGAGGCAGAGGCAGGTGGATTTCTGAGTTCGAGGCCAGCCTGGTCTACAGAGTTCCAGGACAGCCAGGGCTACACAGAGAAACCCTGTCTCGAAAAAACAAAACAAAACAAACAAACAAACAAACAAACAAAAAGAGTCGTCATAATAGCTAACACAAATGGAGAACTCCCTACTAAAAAGACAGGAGCTGCTTTAAATGCTCTCCTACATCAGCCTATTTAAATCCTGTAACAACTCCACATCGCCAGTACTGGCATTCTTCCTATTTATAGCTAAAGGGAAGCACAAAGAGGTGAGAAACAAAACACTTGTCAAAAGCTGCACAGGTGTAACTCACTCTAGGGACTTCAATGCCTCTGGCCTCCATGGGCACGTGTACTCAAATGCACACGCACACACACAAACACAAATGGGGGGGGTTTAAAAACAGTAAGAGTGAATTCTAAAAATAGCTCCATAGCTAAGAGATAATGGAACTGGGATTTTTCATGCAGTTCAAAGAGCTGGTGAACAGTGCTTAGCTGCACACTGGAGCTGGTGAACAGTGCTTAGCTGCACAC